AAATATTTAACTATATTAAAATAAAATAGTCGTTTATATAATTTTTAATAAAAAAGGGCTATAAAGAATTATTAATTAATAATATTATTTTTATCATTTAGTATTATTTTATAATTAATTTTAAATATTTAAAAGAAAATATATTTTAGAATTTATTTAAATATTTTAAATTAATTTTAACATATTAATAAGTAATTAATATTTTATTTTTTATATAAGATTACGTAAACCGTAATTTTTAATCTTAAATTATATTTTATATAATATTAATAAATTAATATAAATAATTTAAATTAATAAAAAAATAGTTTTTAATATTATTATTATTAAATTTGGTTTTTAAAATAATATAAATATTAAAATTTTAATATTTTTAAATATAGTAACGAGCTTATTAAGCTTTAATAAAAAAAATATATTTTATAAAAATAATATAATATTAGTTATTAATTATTAAAATTTTTATAAAGATTATTTTATATTTTCTTTTAAAAATAACTTTAGTTTTAATAAAAGTAATAAGTTTTTATATTATAAAAACTTTATAATATATATAAAGGATTAAATTATTAATAAGTATATAAATATACGTTTAATTCTCGTTGTTTAATTCCGTTATTAATATTTTTAAAAGTTTAATATTATTTTTATAATCCGAGCTATTATTAATACTTTTTAATTATTTTCCTTTTATTTATTTTTATTTAGTTTTAAATGTAATATTAAAATTAATATAATAAATATAAAATTATTATTATACGTTAGCGAATTCGTAAGCTAAAGCGGCCTTTATTTATTAATTATAATTAATAATAATAATATTTAATAAACAAATTAAATACTAATTAACTAATTAATAAATACTTTTCATAAAAAATTAAAACCTTTTTAATTTTTCATTATTAATAAAACCTAATACTATATTAAAAATAAATTTAATATATATTTAGCTAATAATTTAAAATAATAGAAGCTTAAAACGATTCGTATTATATATATTATTAAAATTAATTACTTTAGGGAAGCGCTTTTATATTAAAAAATAAAATAAAAATATTTATATTAAATTAATAAGCTAGTTAAGCTTATTATTAGCTTACTTTATCATATAAAATAATTTTCGTTTATCGAAAAGCTTTATTAAAACGGTTATTAATTAATAATTATTTAATCTTTTTTTATTTATAAAAGCTTTAATATTATAAATATCTTATTAAATAAATACGAATTTAAAAATTATTTTTAAATAATAATATAAAAATTATAAGCTTTAATATTAATTTAATAACTAATAGTTTTAATAGCTTTTTTAATTAAAAATATAAGCTTTTAATACAAAAAATATATTAAAAAACTAAAGCTTAACTTAACATTATATTAAATATACTTAATTTTAATATATTATTATAAAAATTAAACGCCCTTTTCCTATATTTTAATAATAAATATTTATTTATAATTCTATTTTTATAATTTTTATTAATATAACTTTATGTTTTTAATAAGCCGCGGTTTATTAAAGTAATTATATTAAAATATATATTTCTTTTTTGATTTTTATATATATATTTATATTAATAAATAATATTAAACCCGTTTTTTTTAATAAATATATTAACTTAGTTAAATAAAGCGTCGATTATAAGTTTTAAATTATTAAGAATTTATAAATTTAAAATTAAATTAAATAAAAATAAAAACGACCGTTAATTTAAAAAATAAAAACTTTATAATAATAAAATTATTAAATTTATTTAAAAATTAATAAAAAAATATTTTAAATAATAAAAAAAGAAATATAAAAATAAAAATAGTAAAATAAACGTATTAAATAAATATAATAAATAACTTTATTTTTATTATTATTATCGAACTTATTTAAAAAATTTAAAAAGTTTTTTAATTAATTACTACCTTTTTTTACTATTTTTTTTAATTAAACGTAATATAAATTTAAACTTTTTTATAAAAATAGTTTATATAAATTAATATTTTTTATTTTATAAAATAAATTTAACAATAAAATATAATAAAAATAGATTATATTCTAAGCTAAATATTAATATAATAACTTAATAAATCTAAATAATTATTATCGAAAATACTTTATAAAAAAAGATCTTATAATTATTTTATATTTTAATAAGTATTATATTGTTTTTATATAAATGGTAAGGTTAAGTAATTTAATAAAATCGATTTAAAAAAAAAATTGAAATATTTTTAAATATATTATTATTATTAAAATTATAATAATTATTAATATTTATATTTAAATTATTAATAATAAAAGGTTATAAAATAAAAAAATATTTATTACGTTATTATTTTAAATTAAATTTATTATTTAAATTCGAGTTTTTAATTTAATATAATAAGTTACGTTTTGGTAGCGAAAGAGCGGATTTAAATATAAAAAGTTTTAATATAAATAATATAATAATAAAGTTTTAATTAACTAAATAATACGTCGTAATTGTATATTAAAAAAATTCTTAAATATTTTAGGTAGGACCGGTAACATTAAAATAGGGTAATAGCTTTTTTAAGTTAATAATAGTATATAATTATTATACCTATATAAAAGTTATGCCCGTATATTAATTATTTATACCCATATATTAATTCCTTAAATTAATATTTAAATTATATATATTAATTATAAAAAATAATAAAATTATAAAATAATAAAAAAAGATACTATAAAAAAATAAAACGAATAATAAAATATATATTATAATATTAATATTTTTAAATTTCTTTTTAAATTAAAAACTTTAATAAGCTTATTTATATATATAAAATTATTTTATTATATAATTTAAATATTAAATAATTTTAAAAACGTATTATATATATCTTTTTAATAAAACTATTAATTAAAATTAAAATAAATTAAATTTTAATATTTTTATTTTTTTATATTATAAATTTATATTAAAATATTTATTTATTATTATAAAATATATTAAAACTTTATATAAATTAATAATTTATTTTAATAAGTTTTTTATTAATAGTTTTATAACTATATATATATAATAAAAAATTTAATTATATAAAAATTAAATATAATAATAATCTTTATTATATTAAAATTAAAGACTTAACTTTTATTATTTTAAAAATATTAATTTTTTAATAAAAATCTTATATTTTTAATTTTTAAAATTTATTTTATTATATATTTTATTTATTCTAATATTTTTATTTATAAAAATATTTTAAATAAAATTTAAAATATTATTTATTTTAATTTATATATTAATTTATATAATATAAATAAATTTAATTATTTTTTTAAAACTTTTATATAATAAATAATAATAATAATATTTTTTTTTAATTATATTTATTATTTTATTTTTAATATTAAAACTTTTTTAAACTTTTTAAAATAAATTTATAAAATCGTTATTTTATTTATAAAATTAATAAGTTTTTTTTATTTTCTTTTTAATAATAAATAATTATATTTAATAAATTTATATAATATTATATATTTTTAAATTATAAAAAATAAATAAATTAAAATAATCGAATTTAAAAATAATATTAATATAATTATTATTAATATTCTTCTTATTATTTATATAAATATTATAAAAAATATAATATAAATAAAAATTTTTTAATTTATATTTTTTTTTATGAATATTTATAAATTTAATTTTAAATTTTAAAAACTTTTTAAAATAAATTATTTAAAAATTAAATTTTATAATTATTTTTTTTATATTTAAAATAATATTAAAAATTCTTTTAAATTTATTATAAATATTTATTTTAAATAAAATTAATTTTCTTTTTTAAATTTAAAATAAAATATTTAAAAATATTAATATAAAGTTTATTATCATTTTAATATATTTTTTTTATATTATTAAATAATTTAAAAATATAATAAATAAAAAAATATTAAAAATAATAAATATTAAAATAATTAATTTAATACGTATTTTCTTTTTATAAATATTTATAATATTTCTATTTAAATAATTAAAAACGTTATTATATTATATTTTTATATTAAGCTTTTATAATTAAGTTTTCATTATTAATAATAAAAAACGCTTTTTTATTAAAAAATTTATTATTTTTAAATCTTATTTTATTATTTTATAATTCTTTAATTATATAATTATTTAATTAATTGCGGTTTAATATTATTATATTATTATTATATATAAACTCTTAAGTATTAAAAATATTAAAAACGGTCGGTTAAAATATAATTAAATATCTATTATTATAAATAAAAAACTTAAATATTAAGCGGTTTTATTTATTTTTAAACGTAATATATAATATTTTATTTTTATAATTATTATATTTAAAGATTATAAAGTTAAGAATTATATAAATAATACTATAGTTATGAATATTAGGTTTAAAAATATTAATATATTAATGAAAAATAATTATAAACTTGTCGTTTTTAATTCAATTATATTTTAAAATATTTATTAAAAGATTTTAAGAAATATTTAAAAAATAAGAAAACTAAACGTATTAAATTTAAAGTCGAGCTTAGTATAAAAAATTATTAAAATAGTGAATACGTTTACCTTATTATTTACTTTATTTAACAATATTATATAAGTAAGCTATATATTATATTAATCTACGGAAAATATAGATTAATATAAATATTAATTATTTAAGTAAAACTACTCATATAAACTTACGTAAGTAATTAAATGTATTAAAAATTAATAAAATACTCGGGAGCTTTTTTTTTATAGGATTACGTATTATAATTACGTAATTATTTATAAATACGCTTATTAATTTAGATCGAATTAATTAGTTATAGAATATTTTAGTAAGAGGCTTTTATATCTATATAAAAGCGTAGTTTTACTTATTTAGACCTTTTTTTTTAATGAGCAACTCTTTACATAGTAATTTAATTATATTACTCTTTTTATTTTATAAAGATTTTAGTTATTTACGCTTTACTACCCCTTTATTCATATAGCTATCGCGCAAAATCAGTGTCACAATACCAAGATCATGGTGTTTTCGAAATCGACGCACCTGAGAATACCTGTGGCCCCTGGGGCTAAGGTCGTAAGGAGGTCGTATTCAAGGTCCTTGCCGATCCAGCGTTTCCAAAGACAACGGATGATAGTACCATGCGCGACCTATAAAAGTACCAGCTCTTAGCCACTGCTTGAGAAAGTCGAACATGAAGGGACAGGAAGAGGAGTAGTGAGTAGGTGACCTGCTCTCCATGGGGTTGGAGACGTACAACAAGCACATCGGCGGGCCCTTCGCCATTCATGTATGGGTGCTGGATCGCACAAATTTGTGAAATGACTTTGTCCACTCGCTTGGTGACCTGCTGCTTCGACCTATAGATCGTCGGTATGTTAGCTATAACACACAAAACATATCATAAAACGTCATGACGTACTCTCCGCCCTCACACCCGTCACGCCAGATGCTCCATTAGACCCCCTTGTCCAATCCTTCCACGTCTCTTCTCTGCTGAATCTCTTCCTTTTTCAATCCCTCATAAATGCCATGATCCCACTCCGCCATATCCTCGGTGTAGATGACCTCTGGGCTCTGATCGACGGCATCGCATATCGGCAGAAAGAGTTTCAAAGTACGCTGCGCTCTCAACCTTGGGCTGACGATAACCTGCAACAGGCGAGCTGGGTCGATGAGTTTGCCTGTGCCCGCGTATCAACACGCCATAGTAGAAATCTGCGCTTCTCCCAACGGGGTGAGATCGATCTCCGTCTTCCCAGTGTGGCGGCCATTTTTGGACCATTCCGTCTCTCCTAAAGCCAAAATAAGTCATGGAAATATGTTCTGCTGCCAGAAACAGCGCTTACCATGTCGCATGAAGAACACACGAGGCGTTTGGGACTCTTTGTCGGACATGGTGCTGAGCAGGTCATGTCAATGAATCTCCGCTACACCTCGGGCCATGTGTCTCACAGAATGTATGGATGACCAGATGCCTCATACCTACCCCTCTTTACCCCTCCTTGCTTACTTGCTTACTAGCGAACGTCACTCTTTCTACGGCGAATGCATAGCCCTGATTTCTCTGACCTATAACTTCGGAAACAGTGTACTTTATTTAGCCTGCATTATATCGGTCCTGAAGCTTATGTATAGCCAATCCCAGACCTCCTGTTCGAAGTTCTCGCAGTTGGTAACGGGGTGCATAGCTTCATCGAGAGCGTTGGCCTGTCCGAAAACCCCATGAGTCTCATTTTGAACAGAATTGACCACGTCAATGCTTTGAAAAGGCCCGATCAGCCAAGGATTCGATAAAGTAGTTTTAGATGATTAGCCTTGATCTCATTGCAGGCCGTCCCGAGCGGGGTGAGCTACGAATTGAAGAAGGTCGGGCGTTTACTCGACTGGCCGACGTCGTTCTTAGGCTCCACTATCCAGTCTCCTTAGCGGAATGGCTGTCAACATGAGCCGCGAGGTACGCTAATAAGCTGAGCCTCATTTTCCATAGCCACGGTGGCACGCAATTCCGCGGCTGTACAAGACACACCATGGTCGGCGATGCTCTGGTAATCAATCAGATTTTTGGCGAACTTCCCTAACACTTTCCCAAGTTCATATCTATAAATCTATGGAAACTTTGAGCCCATTCCCTACCAAGATGATTCATCTTGTATTGATCAGCTTCGTCAAGATCTGCGTACATGTCGTCAAGCACCGTCAGGGTAGCAAAAGTCACCGAGCCATGAACTTCACGCGCGGTGATCCTAAGACGTTGAGATTAGAACTGTCCACTTTCAAGAACCTTCTTCAGGCCCAGTGCAACGTTGAGGGTCCCTTAACCTTCTCAAAGATTGCCACCATAGAGGAAAAGACAAAAACAATTCAAGACGCGGTTGAAGAGACGCGGAAAGATCTTCATTCTCTGAGTAGCGACGCGACCCGGCTCAAAGCGCTTGCCACGATTCGCGACACTTTTGGAGTCCCAACGACGATGGCTCTCGACGCCACAGCCACCCAGGCGTTCACCGACATTACTAACAAGTGCGCAGACAAGAGTAGAACGTGAATCTGGGATCACCATGCCTACGCCACTTGGAGAGCGCCCAAGGACGAAACTTTGCTTGTGGTACCTGGCCTGCAGTCTTCAGGGAAAATATCTGCCTCTGCACTCGTTACACAACGTCTGGAGGACAAGACAGGCACATGCGTCACTCATTACGTCTTTCCCGCCATTGCTAAGAAGTCTGAAGATAACAACAGCTCAATATAGGTAGCAATCAAGCACATGGCTTTCCAAATTGCTCGTGTCGATGATGAGCAGATTTGGGTAGCCATTACGCGAACGAACGAGAACAGGATGTCTTGGTGGAGACATGGAGAGAACAAGTGGCCAAGACACTATGAATATTTAGTCTAGGTGTCTAGCTAGCTGTAGACGTACCAATAGTATCCGAGTCATAGTCTAGAATACTTAGCTTCTACTAATTAAGTCTCAAAAATGCGCCCAATTATTAATCACTTGTGAATCCACAGGAAGGATTTGAAAAGGCCATTTGTAAGGTAAACATTTGAATATTTAAGTGTAGGTACCCTACCTATTATGTACGATTGGTGTATTATTAATATTACATTTTATCCTTTATTTAGCTGGCATTGCTGGCGGAAAACACGCCGTGCGCGCTCTTATTAGGGATCAAGCCATTAGATATATTAAGGTAGAGTGATGTTTTGCAAGACCTCTGTGTCGGTTCGGGGTCGGTTCGGTGCAGCGCTCTCATGTTTACTCAATTTAAATGCTCAGTCTTAGGCGCCAGATCCGTGGATAAATTGCAAGTTGAGTATGGCTTCGAAAAGACCCACCATTTCTAAACGGGCAAGGGACATCTCCGGGGGATATTGCGATAGTCAGTTCTGTCCGTACTGACGGCCTCGTTTTTGCGACACCAGTTGAATCGTGTCATAGTAAGCAAGCAATCTTGAGACGACGACTGCCTCGCTAGCTGTCAAGTTCCCGTTAGAACACACTACCGAATAACCTAATTGATAAGGAGAAGGTAGTGCGAAAGTCTACCTGTCGTCTTCGGGGTAATCTTCGCGGAAATCTTCAGCAAAGTTTAGACCTAGCTAGCTTGCCGATTATCCGACCGGTAGGACTGAGCAGCAAAACCATCTCAATTTCCTACCTTCTTGAAAACATCCTCTAATTTATTCGGCTCAATTGCGGTGGTTCAAGCTTTATGTTCTCGTTTATCCAACCTTGCTCGACTTCCATCTAGCCTGCTACGTTGTGTCATCGTTACGTCTTCAGCTATGGAGAAGCGGAGGACTCGCACCGCCAACCCATGCGATGGCTGCTCCCTGCGCCGGGTACGATGCCGCATGCAAGGCAGCCCGCCTTGTGTTGAGTGCCAAAAACACTCTGTAGAGTGTACCTTTCTGCGAGTTCCACGCAAGAGAGGTCCCAAGGGGCCACGACAATGTACCTCCGAAAAGGTGGTACACTACCAAAACGAAATTCGCCAATCCCAAACCCTTTTTCCAACCTCACAAAACCTTGCAAGCTCCGTTATTATGAACGAGAGTGACCAGATTCCACTGGGACTATACCTTGAGTATTTGGACAAATTCCGAGAGTGTCTTACCTGCGTCTGGCCTATACTTAATGTCGAGGATTTGAAGGCTCGACTCGTCCAGAATTCTTTAGGGGATCACAATGCCTGGGCATTGGCTGGCGCTGTCTGTGCAACTGTTATTGCCCAGTTGCGACTCTCTCAGATACGGCTGGCAAAACAAGACACGACAACTACAAACCTTAGCTCACTCGCCGACAGCTTTGCCCGGCATGCTCAGCGTTTGCGAGATCGATTTATTTATCGACAAAACTTTTCGACTGAGTCTTTATTAACAGCTTTTTTTCTACATGTCTACTTCACCATTACTGGACAGACTAGAACCGCGATAATGTACTTGCATGAGACGATTGCACAGCTACATCTCCAAGATTTACATCTTGCCGAAACATTAGCCAATCTGGCGGACGAGCAGAAGGAACTGGCGCTCCGCATCTACTGGCTTGTATTTGTGTCTGAAAAGTGAGTCAAGTCGTCTTTTACACTTCCAATCTTCCGTTGGGCGATAAAAAAAATGCTGACTGCCCTTCAAGGACCTTTTGTGTACAAAATTGCTTTCCGACATCACTTTCACCGATTCAGGCTTTGCCTTCCTCAGAATACCACATCCAGGGTGTTGGCCATCTTGACCCATCTTTTCAACTCCTTACACAACTGTTCACGTTGCTTGATAACAATATCATCATGGCAGGGAATAGAAGAGGGGCTTGCATGGATGCAAGTAGTCTAGACCACCTTCAATATGCCCTGTCAGCCATGGACAACATTGCAGCTGTGGCGCCAAGGCTCCCAGAAACACAACGGGTCAATGTCTTGATGACAGGAAACTGGATTAATATCCTTTGTTGGCAATATGCGCTTCGGCATATTCAAATGTCCAGCCGCAGAGATGCTGATGCCACCTTTTCGATACTGGAACCTGCTTCAGTTGCCGAGAAGGCAATGCGGCTTTTCGCGTCCGTCTCCAGAGAATCAATCACGACCCACGGGTTTGGTATGGTATGTGAACCCAGAAACACTGTTAACTTGTACCAAATTCTAATGCGATAGGCGGGGGGCTTCTTTAGGAGCTCAAGGTATTTCGTATCACGGACGCATTGGTCGACCTGCTAGCCTGCAATAGGTATTTGCTTGATTCAACTCGGCCCAACAACGGAAGAATGGTAGTGGGGCCGAGAGATACGCTCTACGCTCTTCAAAACACATTGCATCTCATTGGGGGCCCAGAATCTTTATTATATAAAAGACTTTTGAGAATGATGGCCGAGGTTGCGCTTCCTGTCCCGCAGGTCCCAGAAATTATCTATCGCAATAACGATGCACGAAAAGAGGAAAATCATAACGAGGAATAAAAACAGATGTTCGATAAGGATATCTGGAATTTTGCATCCTGCTTAGGGGGTTATTCAACATTCGCTTCAGCCCACACACAATTCATATTTCCCCAGGGCTGGAGGACGTATATCAATATGCTTACCGATCCGAGTGACGCTGATATTTTACTTTGACCGCTTTTGTTATAAGATTCAATCTACTTTTAAAGAGTGTGCACATACCTGTTGTTCTCTAGAATTTCAATCTGTGACACAGCCTTGACATTGGGCTGCGTCGTATCAAGTAAAGGGATTAGCTGTGCACATAGGTTTTATTAGTATTTATTATTTAAATCTACTTTTGAGATCTACGGCACCTAAAGTTTTTTTTTTCAATATAAGTTTAATATAAACTTATAATATTATAATACTTTTTTAAAAACACCTTGAGTACCGTATAAATAGTAATATATTTATAATTACTTTTTTTTAAAAGCTTTATTTTTAATATTTTAATTAAAAGCCGTTTATTTAATATTATAAAGATTCTAAAACGCTTATTAAATATTTAATTTTAAATTAATGCAATATTTCTTTAGTTAGTTACTACTTTCTAAACTTATATATTTATTTATTTTTTATTTAAATTAAAATAAATAAACATTATTACTTAGTAAACTTTCGCTTTATAATAAAACTTAAATTCTTAATTTTATATATAAAATAAATTTAATATTACTTATTATTTTATTTAATAAACTTGAGCTATTGTTTAAATAGTATATTTTAATAGTTTTTATTAGACTTATTTGTAATAAATACGTAGAACTTTTCAAATCTATTCTTTAGCTTTAACATTTATTTTATTGAAACGCTTGCTACCTCCATCTCCTGCGACGCGGGGCCCGACGGTAATAATTACGACTCTGCTGCGGCACTATTGCTTTCAGAGCAAGACAACGCTATAAGCTTCCGAAAATTGAATCTTCTAGGAGATACTGAAAGTCGAAAAAGACTAGCCACTAGGGTATCTCACCTATAATGTCTTCAAGTTTCGATCAGACAGCCCTGGCCCATCTCATCGCCTTGCGAATGAAAGTGGCAAGTGGAGCGCTCAAGACGGTAGTATTTGAGGAGCTATTCTACCTCTTTTCTCCAAGCGACCTAATACTGTCTGCTTCCATCAGCGAAAAGCAGCTTTCCCAGGTTTGCTCGGTGTCTGGTGGCCGTATGAGACTCGTGATGAAGACTGCCCAGCACCACTATATGCCTCATCCCTCGAAGAAGAAGGAAGACAATGCTAATGCCGGATTTGGGACTTGGACGGCCGTGATCGTCGATACCCTCGTCATAAGCGACGACGGCGCTAATATCGGGCCAATTTAGCTCAGCATCCACGTCAAGTATTTCACAGGCGAGAAGCCTATAACGCATCTTGACGCTTATCCAGTCCGCTTTCATCACAACTCGGCGAAGATATGCCAGAGCGACAGGCGTTTTGGCCTCGAAGCGTTCTACTGTGAATAGAGGTCCAAGGATCTGCCCATTGGCAGATTGCAGATGAATCCATATAACAACAGAGAAACGACCGAGAGCATAATCGGTCGGCCAAATCGGGAGTTTGTCTGCGCAGACTATGACATTGACGAGGCACGGTCGGGGACGCTCCTCCTGGCGCACCACGATACCATACAGCTTATACCCAGGAAGCTTGGGCTTGACTCTGCATACTCCCGGCTTCTTCCCTATTAGGTACCGGCATATGATTTTCGTAGCAGAACATGAGGTAAGGAACCAGCCGTTTACAATTTACATAAAAAAAAAAAAAAAAGAAATGCTACCCTAGAATTGAGTATAAATCCTCATGGCTGACGCTTTGTAGTGTGGATCAGCGTCGACGGCATCGAAGAGATCGACGAAACGGAGCAGGCCCGGCAAATTGGCTGGAACGACTTGGTCACCCCGGAAGAGTACAGACGACTGCTAGTGTCTCTGGTTGATAACCACACGTCTGGTGTGAAACAAAACAAAAGGCAGAAGGTGGATCCCAAGAGCAACCTAAGAGTGCAGATAGACCTAGTCAGGGGCAAAGGTCGTGCACTGATTATACTTCTCGATGGGCCCCCGGACTTAAGCAAGACAAGCACTGCGGAGACAATTACTCTCTAAGCGGGCCGGCCGCTGTATTCCGTCACTTGTAGCGATATCGGTATTACTGCCGAAGAGGTTAGAGTACGCTGTCAAGGCGTGCGGTTCACAAGTGAAGAAGTCAGCAAAGGGTCACTTAACGGAGACGTCTCAAGGTAGATATCGGTAATTTACAACATTCGAATCTAGCTAGGCCCCTAAACTAGCTCTGAGAGAGAGGTTTTATATGCTTCAAATAACTAATAGGGGCCCACCAGAGGGCACCTCTGTCAGGCACCTGACATACCCCTCCAATATCACACACGCCTGGCCGAGAAATGGGGCTGCGTACTGCTCCTGGTCGCGGCAGACTTGTTTCTGATGCGTCGGAGCTGTGATAACATGCATGAAAATGCGCTTGTCTCTGGTATGAGCTGTCCAAATAGCTACTGACTGTAGGAACTGACACAAAGAACGCAGTATTCCGCAGGCATCTCGAGAACTACTCTAGCATCCTCTTCCTTACCACTAACATTGTTGGCGTCATTGACGAGGCTTTCAAATCGCGAGTCCATATCGCTCTCCAATATCAGAGCATTAATCTGGACTCAAATTTAAAGATATGGTCCAATATTTAAAGTCGGATTACCAAGGAAAACGAAACGGCGGAAGTCAAAATCAAATTTGATCTTACCCGGCTTCTCGACTATGCGACTCTACCAAAAGCACGAGGCGGACGATACGACATGGAACGCACGCCAGATGCGCAACGCCTTCCAGACGGCGATTGCGCTCGGGCATCACGAGCGGCTGCAGCGGATCATGGATGAGGGTCTCACGCCGGAGCAAGCGATGGCGTCTGGGGATATGAGGATGACGGTGGTCCGGCTGACGAAGCGCAACTTCAACACCATAGCCAAGGCGGCGCGGGACTTTGAGGACTACATCAACTCTGTCCGAGGGCCGGACCGGCAAGTGGCATTCAAAAGCCAGCAACGGTATGACGACTTCGGCCAGGATATTCCCAAGGCACACAAGGACTACCCTTCACGTCACGGGGGACAAGGAAAGACTGCCGCAAGAAAGAAGCATGGCAATTCGCCATCTGCGGCACGGCCTCGCAAGTTCAGAGAGACTATCCAAAAGACTATATATTAAAAGGATGATGACAATGATGAAGAGGAGGAAAGGCAAGGAAAGAGAAGTGGATTCGGCCGTGGAAATGAGATGCTGGATGATGACGCGGAAGAATGTGCGGTGTGAGCTCTGCATGACGGATAATCTTTTGACGTCTCTAATCTCGGTATTATTCAATACGAGGTGGTAGCAGGTGAAGGGGTATTTAGGGAAGGTTACTAGGCGTAGAGATAATAGGGGCAATAGGGATAATAGTCAGACCGGTCCCGAAAGCACTGGAGATACAACTCACTGTTCCTAAGATAAAGGAGCACCAGTTCACTATCCCTAAGATAGGAGGAGGGATAAGGTATTTTACTATTCTTAGAATTAATAGGAAGCCAGTTCGTTATTCACCTAACTTTCAATAAATATCTAGCTTATGAAGGAAGCAAGCTAACGATTTAGAAAGAATAGAATAAATATACTACCTAAAAATAAGCTAACTATCTAGTCTATCTGGTCTCTCTATAGTATATGTATAATAAAAAAAAAAGTCTAACTAACTATAAACTAAAAGTAATATTAAAGTATAGCTAAGGTAGAACCTGCTAACTAATCACATATAATAATCCCCTTTTAAAAATAAAATAACGTCCTTATTACATATATTAATATAGCTTATTAATTTTTTTAAGCATACGTAACTATTATTATATTCTTTTAGTATTATTATATCTTTTATTATTATATTTATTATTATTGTGTTTATTATTATTATATTTATATTTATTATTATCTTAATTAAATATATTATTTATAATATTTTATAAGTCGGTAAGTAAGGTTTTAGATCGGTAAGCGTTATTATTAAATTTAAGTTTGATATTAATTAATAATTTGTTAATGATTATAAAGATATTATAATTAATTAGGTTTTTATTACTAAAGTTCTTGGTTAAGAAGCTTTATTTTTTTTCTTTTTAATAATTTTTTTATTTTTGGTATTTAAGTTATTTAATACGGTAATAATATTATAAAGTATAGTTTTTTTATTAAATTTAATATTAAATAGGGTATTATAATAAGTTAAGTTAATATTACGTATAGCGGTTTAAATATATAAAAGTATAGTTGAGTACTTAGACTAAAAAAAATATAAAAATAAGCCTATCGTAATCTTAAGACTTAAACTTAAGGATCTCTAAAACTATCGCCGGTTTTTTAGAATTTAACCTAGCCTAATAGGTCTAAAAATTCGCTAAACTATCGCTATTTAAATATAAAATAACTATATTAATATAATATATAGCAATAATATTTTTATAATTATTTCCGTTTCCTTAAGCTTCGGTTTTTAAAACGGAATATTATTAATATATACTATCGCTAGGCGATTAATTAGCCCTTATTAAAGGTTTTATAATAATAAAGCGCTTTACGGAACGTATTTATTATTAAAACTTCTAATATTATATTAATATTAAATAATAAAATCGTCGATCGGATTTTCGTTAGCCTTTAGTATTTTTTTACTTATTAAATAAAGCGTTCTTTTAACCGTCTTTTCGTTAATAATACGTCGGCCTTAGCTTATTATAACAAAAGACCCCTATAATTCATTAATATTTATATCTATTTAATTAAAAAATTTAAATATACTTTTATTACTCTATCGATCGTTATATCTATTATTTTTAAATTATATCGATATCCTTTATTCTATATTAATTATATTAATTTATAAAAACTTAAAAATTATAAAAATATAGCTAAGTATTTAAATTAAAAAAAATATAAAAATAGGCCTATTATAATTTTAAAACTTAAACTTAAGGATTTTTAAAACTATTACCGGTTCTTTAAAATCTAACTTAATTTATTAAAGCTAAAAATTTACTAAACCGTCGCTATTTAAATATAAAGTAGCTATATTAATATAGCGCGCGGTAGTAATATCTTTATAAAATATTAATAATAATAAGGAAAGTATTAATTAATTAAATATTATTTTTAATAAGGATATTCGGAATATCGCCGTTATAAATCTAAACTATTATATAAAGAATAATAGGATTATAATAAATTTATATTAAAAATAGAATACCGAAGTTAATAATAAAAATAAGAGTATTTTTAATATAATAAATAGGGCGTATTTAAAATTCTGAATTATAAAATCGTTTATAATAACCTTCTGTTTTATAAAAACGATATTTTTTAAAAGTTTTATTATATTTATTTTTAAAATATTTATTATATTCGTATTAAATATAAATTTTATTAAAGCTTTTTGCGCCGTATTTAGTATTTATTTAAATATTATATAAAAAATAATAATTAAAAAAGTTAACGATATAATTAATTCTTTTTTTTTAATAATTTTAAAAGTATTTTTTACATTTATAAGTTATTTTTTAATTAAAAAGACGGTAATTATTATATTTTAAACGTAGGTAATTACGATAGTTATATAAATAGGTTTAGTAATAAAGTTTTAATTCTTTATCCAAACGGTATTATAAATAATAATATTAATTTTAATGTTTATTAAGCCGTCGATTATATAGAATTAAATTTTATTATATATAATATTATTAAAATAAAAGGCTTTTTATATATTTATATATTTAGTAAGTTACGTAGTATATAGGGTTATAATTATAAAAGTATTTTAAATATTATAGCCTTCAGAAGTAATAAAAAAGGTAAATAGAAAACTTTTATTAAAGACGATAAAAATAAATTAAAAGATTTAATTATAATTAGCGTTATTAATATAAAAAAAACTTAAAATATTTTTATTTCTTTTATAAATATTAATAACGAAAGAGGTAATAAAGCTTTTAAAATAAAAAATATTATTTTTAATAATTATAAAATAAAAAATACTTTTATTATAGCGGTATATAATATATATCTTATTATTATATAAAGCTTATCGTAAGAGGTCCAGCGCATAGCCACGTGTAGCTAAGGTAGTACCTACTTAAATACGCCTACTAACCCACTTCCTAAGCGCCCTTAGCCGGTATATTTACTTAATCGGTCTATAAAATATCCTTTTAAAAGGATAAGTATTTTAAATTATAAAAACTACGTTTCTATACTCTTAGCCTATTATAATTATAAACCTAGCTTTTATAAACCCTTTTTTTAAAATATAAAAATAAATAAATATCTTTATTATTCTAAAATTTATAAAAACGCAAAGCGCCTATTAATAATATTAATAACCGTTTAACCTTTTATATTTAATAATAGTTAACGTTTTAATATAAAAACGGACTAACTAACTTAATATATTAATTTTTAAATACGTATAAAAAATATATTTATTTAAAATCTTATCGATTTAAATATAAAGGATGTTAATAACGATAATATATAACTATTAAAAAAACTAAACTCTATTAAACTAATTACTAAATATACTATTAAATTAAAAAATAATTATTATAAATAGTTAACCATTTAAAAAAATAACAATAATAAAAACGAAATTTAAACACTTAATAATAATAAAATTAATTAAATTTAAATTCTTTTAACTAATAAGCTTATAAAACTACGTTTTATTAAATTCGATAATATTAAAAACGAATATAAACGACTTATTAAAAATTATATTAATTAAAACTAAATATAAATAACGATTATAACGAACTACTAAACGATTAAATCCTTTATTTTCTAAATAATTAATTTATAAAAACTTATAAACGCCTAAATAAAACTTTTATATAAAAATAAAACTAACTTCTAAAAACCTATACGTATATTAAAATAAAATTTAATACCTTTTAAATTTACGACTCTTTTAATAATTCATATAAAATATAATAATACGCTTTTTAAAGCCTTTTAAAGCAACGTCTTCTTAACTACTTAATATTTTAATTAATATAAAATATATAAACGATCTCGGGCTTATAATATACTTAAAATCTAAAGCATTTTAATAACAAAAAGCTTTCTTAAAACTATTAAAACCTACCTTACACCGACCTAAATAACGTAAATATTTAATAAGCTTACTATAAATAAAAATCTTAAATACCTTATCTTAATTTTAAAAAAATATAAACGGATTTTTAAAATCTTTTATTAAAAAAACTAGCTTTTAAAAAATAATAATAAAAGCCTTAACCTTTTTATTACTTTTAGAGGACGCTTAAATAAGCCTAATAACTAAAAAATAATATTTAAAACCTATCTATATAAAAAAAATCATTATTAATCTTTACAAAACTACAAAAAAGTCTAAAAAACTTTTATAAAAGCTTCTAAATATATAAAAAAATTTATAAACAAAAAAGCGATTAAAATAAAAAACTAAATTATATTATTAACTTTTAACTATATTTAAACTAAATATTAAAAAAAAATAATTAATTAATAATACTAAAAACGTACGTTAAAAAAACCAAAAAAATAATAAAACCCGCTTAAAAAACTACTCTAAAAGCATTATAATAATCACTATTTTTAATAATAATAAAAAACCTTAAAAAAGCGGTTCTATAAGCTTTCTAATATTCTTAATACTTTTTAAAAAACGCTACGCCCTATTAAATAATACGGTTTATAATAACTATAAAAAATACTATTTAATCAATAATAAAGCCTTATTAAAAAAGGGTTTTTATAAACCCTATTTAAAAAATAAATTTATAAAAACGAGCATTACCCATATCTATATTATAAAAATAAATATTAAAATCCTTAAAAAAGCTCTTTATAACAAAAAAAGCTTTAATATTAAAGACCTTGTCCTAAAAAACGTCGCTATTATAAAAAGTTTCTATATTAATATCGTCTTTAAAACGCGCTTATTAAAAATTAAAATTTAATACTACGGCCTCGATACGACTTTACGCTTTAAAAATATAAATAAAAATATAATAATAACCTAACTATTTAAAAAAAATAATCTTACTTTTTTTTAATATAAACCTATTATTTATTACTTTATAACCCGCCTTTTAATACTAATAAACTTTTTATATTTTATAATAACGGTCTAATTTAATATTTTACTA